AAATATAGGCGTACAAAGGGATAGGGTTCCATACATCTTTCCATACATCCACATAACACCTATTCCATACACCTAACAATCCCTTGGCTCAACGATCGACAACCATCATTCAAACAATTAATCAATTTCAACAACCGTCATACATTCCATAGTGAAAAGAAAGAAATGGGGGGGGAGAAAGATAATTCATACATCAATCGAAGAAAGGAAAATCCGAGATTGCCGCAACGAAGATGGTTCAAACCAGAAATCAAAATTATACGGAGGATGCGAAGAGATAGCACCACTTCAACCTCTCTCTCTCTCTCTCTCTCTCTCTCTCTCTCTCTCTCTCTCTCTCTCTCTCTCTCTCTCTCTCAATGTTTCCACGATGCGGGCAGTCCGTCGCCGTTAACCTACCAAAAACCCGAAGTTGTCATCCCGCTTAGTCCGAGCATGCAAGCCAGGTTCGCCCGTGTGCCACAATCCTTCGCGGCCACACGTCAACCCCGCATACCCAACACCCGCTCGTCGGATCGCCCAACTCCCTACTCACCGTTCTGTCTCCGCTCGTTAGTTGATCCTCTCAACCGCGCTAACTCCCAAGTGTAGATTAGAGAGCAAATTAGTCGCGCTTACAAAATTTATAGCACTCGGTACTTGCGCGAGATAATTCCGAATTACGCTGAAGCAGAAATAACCTTTTCAGACTGCCGTTGTCATTTGTTTTTCCTGTTTTTTAGCTTTTTAGCTTGTTTTGTGTTGTAGTCAAACTTTAATCTGATTTTGTCATTGCAGCCTCAGTCTGTTTTCCTTTGTCCAGGTTGTTCTAAAATTCGCTGCCAGTGTGGGAGTGTGACATTAGGGTAGGACCGACGGAGGTCAGTGTCGAAAGGAAGGTGTTCTTCGGGGAAGCCAGGGAGACGGTAGGGATAACCACTGGTGCCCCCCAGTGGCTCCTCCCGGTACCCTGACCAGGCACGAGGTTGGGGAAGGAGACGAGGGCCATCAACTCTTGGTTCCAGGTTTCGGGTCATGCTCACACCTGCTCAGTCAATCCTCTGGTTCCCAGAGCAATCAATGTTGGCAGGCATCCTCTAGACACCATCCAGTTTTTTTCTCTATGCATCATACTGTATCAAAAAGAAAAAAGAAAAAAAGGAAAAAAAGGATGAGAAAGAGAAAAAGGAAGTGCCTATAACTGCATGACCGGGCCATCCCACTCTCCATGCATCGATCCGATCATGCATCTTTTTGGCCAATGAGATAAACAAAAAAGAGGCGCATGTTTTAGCACGGAGAGAAATCAAGAAGGAGAAGATTACAATTACACCCGCGCTTGCCAAGAAGGAGCAAGAAGAGATTACGGTTGCGATTAGAATTTTAACGCGGCAGAAGCAAAGCGCAGGACATGATGCAGCAATGCGCGCGCGAGTAAGGAACATCGTGCAGGTACAACAGCAAAAATCCGTGACAAAATTATGATGCCCTCAATTCCTAACTCACCCTAATTTTCGTATCCCCCCATATTTCAAAATTTAAAAAGATCTCTGCCGCACGATGATCGTGCCAAAGTTCCCTTCCCCACTTTTAGCAGAACAAGAAAGAAGCTATGACAACAATTATTTCTGTGCTCGCTAAGGCGCGGTCAATTACCAACTGCCATGGGACCAAGCCTTTAAAAAACAAAGATGGGGGCATTCATGCAATTGGGCGGGCCCCTCCCGATCAACCCCCGAAATACCGTCCCGGAGAAAATCGCGCGTTTACAGAAAGCAGTTCATCACAGCGTGCCCCTCAGGAGAGTTCAGAGCCCCCAGGAGCAAGACAGGGTATGCGTGTCATCCTGTCTTGGGCGACGGCCTTGAGATGTCATCATTGAACGGATCAGAATTGTAGTATTTTGCTACAAATGGACTCCGGTCTGTATT